TAATAGTGCGGAAGCCAAGCTTAGCCATAATTGCACGGAGCTCATTCGCAACGTAGTAGAAGAAGTTGATGACGTGCTCGGGTGTACCAGCGAACTTCTTCCTGAGCTCAGGGTCCTGAGTAGCAATACCTACAGGACAAGTATTCAAATGGCATTTACGCATGAATATGCAGCCCATGGCGATCAGGGGAGTTGTAGCAAAGCCCCATTCTTCGGCTCCAAGCAAACATGCGATAGCGACATCGCGACCAGTCTTGATTTGACCGTCAGTCTGGACAATGACACGACCACGGAGATCGTTGAGAACAAGTGTCTGATGAGTCTCTGCAAGACCCAGCTCCCACGGAAGACCAGCGTACTTGATACCAGTCCATCGAGAGGCACCGGTACCACCATCGTGACCGGAGATGAGGATGTGGTCAGCCTTGGCCTTGGCGACACCGGAAGCGACAATACCAACACCGGTCTCGGAGACAAGCTTGACTGAGACACGAGCGCGAGGGTTGGAACACTTCAGGTCGTAGATCAACTGCTTAAGATCCTCGATGGAGTAAATGTCGTGGTGGGGAGGAGGACTAATAAGACCGACACCAGGGGTAGAGTGACGGGTCTTTGCAATAGAACCAGAGACCTTGTGGCCAGGAAGCTCACCACCTTCACCAGGCTTAGCACCTTGTGCCATCTTGATTTGGAGCTCATCAGCATCTGCGAGGTAGTTGGAGGTGACACCGAAACGTCCGGAAGCAATCTGCTTGATGGCGGAGCGCATAGTATCGCCATTCTCCATGCGCAAGCTGCGCTCAGGGTCTTCACCACCCTCTCCAGTGTTCGACTTTCCGCCAAGACGGTTCATGGCGACGGCGAGAGTGGAATGTGACTCCATAGAGATAGATCCATAGGACATGGCACCAGTGACGAAGCGGCGCACAATGTCTGTCCATGGCTCGACTTGGTCGATGGGGATAGGGGCGCGGTCATCGAAGTTGAAATCAAGAAGACCACGAAGGGTACAGTCCTTGATACGTTCATACTCAGCGATAGAGTAAGCCTCGTACGACTTGTCGTTCTTGGTGCGAACAGCGTCTTGGAGGTTGGCCATGGCAGTAGGGTCGTTGACGTGAGGCTCGCCTCCATCACGCCAGTGGTACTCGCCAGTCTCAGAAAGACCAGGTACCTCTACAATAGGTCGTGATGGGTAGCCCTTCTCGTGGAGAGCAAATGCATCGGCTGCGATAAGTTCAAAGGTCATACCCTTGATACGGGACGCAGTGCCGGTGAAGCAGCGGTCGACAACAGAGTCATCAAGACCGAGAGCCTCGAAAATCTGGGCGCCCTTGTAAGATTGGAGCGTCGAGATACCCATTTTGCTCATGACCTTCAAGATACCACCATCGCAAGAATGCTTGTAGTTTTGGATGAGCTGTTCAGGTGTCAAGTTCTTGCGAATGATGCCCTCGCGATGCATCTTGAGAATACACTCAATGGCAAGGTAGGGGCAGACAGCATCAGCACCATATCCGACAAGGACACACATGTGGTGAACCTCACGAGCTTCGCCAGTCTCAACAACGAGAGCTGCACTGGATCGCCACTTGTTGCGGACAAGGTGGTGGTGAACCATACCAGTGGCCAAGCAAGCAGATACAGCGACGCGGTCGACGGATGTTGCACGATCGGTCAAGACAAGGATGTTGTCGCCGGCCTGGATGCCCTCTGTGGCTGCTTCACAGATGCGGTCGAGAGCATTCATGTATCCCTCGATACCTTCACTCTTGGGGAAGGTGATGTCGATACTCTTGACAGTCCACTCACGGTAGAGGGTGTGGGCGTTGGTCATCGCCTTGAACTCCTCAAGAGTAAGAATTGGGGACGGCAAAAGCAGACGACCGCACTGCGACTCATCCATCTCTAGCAGGTTACCCTGGGGACCAACGTAGGCCTCGAGAGACATGACAATGGCCTCACGGATAGGGTCAATAGGAGGGTTGGTAACCTGAGCGAAGAGCTGACGGAAGTACTCGTACAACAGGCGAGGCTGTGTTGCCAAGCAAGCAAGAGGAGCATCGTTACCCATGGATCCAAGAGCCTCCTTGGAGTCTGCAGCCATGGGTCCGAGGAGCAAGCTGACTTGCTCGAGAGAATAACCGAAAGCTCGCAGACGAGGGTCTTCATGAAGCTTAGTCTCAGTGAGCGAATGAGAAAGGTCGATACCCTTCTCGCCGACAGACTGAACAATCTTGGGAAGAGTCAAAAGGTTCTTTTCAATCCATCTGCGGAAATCGTTACGCTCCGCGACAGACTTCTTCAGCTCAGCGTCATCGACGATTCGACCAGCGACAGTATCGACAAGCAACATTCTACCGGGTTGCAGACGGCCCTTTTGAACGACTCGCTCAGGCTCGATTGAAATGGTACCGACCTCGGATGCGCAAACAATGCGGTCGTCATCAGTGATGTAGTAACGGCAAGGACGCAGACCATTTCGGTCGAGGTTGGCACCGCAGTACCGTCCGTCAGAGAAAGTGAAGAGTGCAGGGCCATCCCAAGGCTCCATCATACAAGCAGCCCACTCGTAAAAGGCTGCCTTGGCGGGATCCATGGTGTTGTTGCCCTGCCATGCTTCTGGGACCATGAGCATGACTGCTTCTGGAAGAGACAGAACGCCGTTGATGGTCAACAGCTCAAGAACGTTGTCAAAAGCCGCAGAGTCGGAGCCACCGTCCTCAACGATTGGGTAGAGAAGATCGAGTTCCTCGCCGAAGAGACTAGACTTCATAACACCCTCACGTGCTCGCATCCAGTTCTTGTTTCCTCGTAGCGTGTTGATTTCACCATTGTGAGCCGCCCATCGCAGAGGCTGCGCACGGTCCCAACTGGGGAATGTGTTGGTCGAGAAACGCGAGTGCACCAAGGCAAAGTGACCCTCGTAATCGACGTTGAGCAGATCGTGGTAGTATTCATAGACCTGAACTGGAGAAAGCTGACCCTTGTAGACAATGTTCTTGTTGCTCAGTGAGCAAATGTAGAACCAATTGTGTAGGCCAATGACGTGTGTAGCCCGCTTTCGCATGACATAGAGCTGTCGCTCAAAGTATGCGTTATCGTACTTTTGCTGGAAATCAGCCTTTGGCTCCCGGCCATCACCATAGGCAGTTTTCAGAACAACGAATGGCTGGAGGATAATGGGCTCTCGTGACAAGGCCGCGGGTCCAAGAAGTGTTGAATCGCGCGGCACTGTTCGCCATCCAAGCACTCTCAGGTCAAGCTGGTCTGCAACGTCCTCAAACATGGTCTTGGTCTCATCCAAGATGCTAGGGTCCGGCTTGAAGAACAGGTTACCAGTGGCGTACTGGCCAAGCTTGGGCAACTTGTAGCCTTGTTCACGCTCGAACTCTTTGAGGAAGAATCGGTGGGGGATGGAGGTCATTACACCTGCACCGTCACCGTCTCGTGCGTCGGAGCCAACGGCTCCTCGATGGGTCATGTTGCATAGCAATGACCGTGCTGTTTGTTTGTCAGTATGTATGTTTGTGCAATTTTAGGTATATATAATTTTCTTACCGTCAGAGACGATCTTGTGGCTAGCCTTGCCCTTGATATGGCTGCAGAATTGTCAGTTCATCTTCACGCACTCTCAGCAAACTGATTGTGATTGTCACTTACGCAGCAAAACCGACACCACAGGCATCCTTCTCTAGCTCTGGGTCGTAGAGACCCTGCTTCAAGGGCAGCGCACCCGCCCAGGACTTGTTCTCTGGGCCATCCTGATAAGCAAACACTGAAGTCTGCTCTTCTTCAATCTGGGTATCCTGGGGCAACTTTGTATCTTCGGCGAACGAGACCCGACCCATTATATCGGCAAAAGGCCGAATTCGTGGGTTTCGTTGGTGTTGGTGGTGGTGGGAAGGGTGCAATATCGTTATCGGCGTGTGGCGGGGTCGCTCGATGCGTCGATGTGCAAGTGGTGGTCTAGTCTACGGATGAAGTCTGGAGGGAGGAGTTAATTTTTGGTTCATAAGTAGAAAAAGAAGAAGCAAGCTGTGGGCGCGAGCAAGAGGGCCGAGAGTCAAAGGTAGCTTGGTACAACGGGGCGCATAGGCCTAGTTTCAAAAGCAACAAATGCGAGTGGGGGAAACGAGTGTCGCTAGAGGGGATTGCAACCATAAAACAGCCTGGGAGCTAGGCAAACAACGGGACCGGGTCGCTGAGCAGACGGATTTGAGCGGAGGTAAGCAATTGATAGCTATGACGCTCACGCAAATCCCCGCGGCGAATAATGGGGTATCCAAGCAGAGGATGTGCTGATAAGGGAGGCAGCGAATGGGCTCACGCGGGGTAGCAGCCCAAAGTGCAGTAGGATGGTGGCTAATACAAGCCAGGCCGGAGTGGCGGTGGAAAAGCACAATGTATGGTCGCGGATGGGTGGGTGGGTGCAGCAGGCGTAGACATGGGAGGCAGAGCACTCACTTACTCGATGTGGAGACTAATGGAACTGGCCGTGTAGTCGGCGCGCGGTGTTCCTGCAAGTAGATTGTAGCGATTGTGCTGGAGAGAGTACAGGACAAGAAGGGAGAGAGAGGGAGGGCAAAGGGCGCGGCTGGTTGGGAGGGAGTACTTATGAATAAGAGGGCGGAGGGCTGGTGGTGGGGTGGATATTTTCCCAATGCGCTAGCAAGTCGACTTGACAGTGTCCAATGACGGGGCCAGAAGCGCGTCGAGGGAGGCGTTTCTGCTGTCAGTTGTAGGCCTTGTCGGTCGGTCGGGTCGGTCTCTTTGCCGCTGCAGACTGGGGAGTGCCTGGTGCTGGGGGTGGGTTGATGCCTTGGTGCTCTGTTTGCATGTGGTTGTGAGATGACGCCCCCGCCTCTTTCACCAAGTACGGCACATGAAATTGCAATTCTCAGCGTCTACTTGTTTTTATTTTATTTTTTCGATATAAGCCCACGAGTGTCTGCAGCTCGCCACTGCCAACCTGAGGTCAGCCTGCGAGGCATTGTTTCTCACAGCGTCTGCCGCGGCGTGGCGGAAGGTTGGCAGAGCTGGTCGTGTGTGGATACTGTAGTATAGCGACGACCTCTGCGGCGGGTTGTGCATGGGAAAATTGGCCTACCCCACGGTTTTTCTGCCGCTCCATGACGATAACCGTGGGCGTGATTGGGCGGCGGGGGCCGACCGCCCTGCAGGCGTTCGTCTGTGCATCTGTGCAGTGGCAGGCTGGCCTCCGAAGGTCGGGTTGGTCGGGTTGGCTGGGTTGGCTGCGGATGACCAGACGGTTGCATGTGCCGCATCATCTGAATCTCGCCCGCGCCAATTGGGCCGCCGGCCTCGCCTCGACCATTTTGTCGTAATTCCCAAGGGTCATGTCTCATCTTATCTGCGCCCAAGCATCTCCGGGGCGGGAGCTTGCGCTGCCCCCTTCCTTCTCTCGCCCCTCGTTGGACGGGACAAGATATAACCCCGCCCGTGCGCGGCGGAGCTTCCGCCCTCATTGCTTGACTGCGCAGTCGACGACATCATTGCAGCGCAGATTGCAGTGAACATCACCCACCTAGTCGCAGCCTTGGGCTTCTGCAAAAGATGCCTTCTGCTTGTCCTTCCCTCACATGATCCAACCCATTGGGCCATTCTGACCGGCCCGCCACGGCTGCTGCTGCCCGCTGGCCACCAAGCAACAGTGTCCGCATCATGCTCGGAACAGATCGGAACAGACACTGCCTGCAGCCCGGCACCACGTAGCGGGAGACGAGTCACGAGAACACGCAGACCTTTGTTCTGCTCGTCTGGCCGATGTCGCCTGTGCCCGCACCCAGCTTGCACTCGTTACCCGGCGGATATACCAGGAATTTCTTCAACGCAATCAAAACACACCACTTGTGCTCAACACCCCCGATCTAGTGCCAATCTCACCACTGCCATTCGACGGCCAATCTCTGCAGGATTCGTGTACCTAATATTTATGTCCCTTCGCTTCGGGCCTTTGTGCAAAAAGAGTCGAAAATGGTGGTTGGTTTCCGACGTGCCCTATCTCCCAGAGGCGGAATCCGACTTCAACATCTGATTCCCGACCCAACGCAGTCGATTTGCCCGACAAGATCGGACTCATGTCCCGATGCCTTGGTTTTCCCCAAATAAGAAAAAAAAATGAGAGCGTTCCAAATATCTGCGTCACTTTGCTGTCGCAATCTCACCATCGCAGAATTCAACAGAGAATACCCAAAGTACAAGGACATGTAACTTCATGCTACACTCTAAAAGTAACCCAAAATTTTGGACCCTTTACTAGCAACTGCAACTTTTGCCATTTTGCCATCAAGATCGCATCGTTCCAGTAAAAGTGGGGCACAAGGTTGCCAATACACGTACACCCACGTCCCGATCACGTGCATTGTTAGCAACGACCCTATTCCACCCGACAATCACTACGAACAAAACGAGTAACTCGAACCTAACAAGCCTACCCTATGCAAAAATCACGGGACCCTGTTTTTCCTTCCTTTACTCGAGTTACCCAATCAAGCTAAAACCACAGATGATCTTTTTTTTCCTTTCTCTTAGGCATCGGTAGTATGTATTCATCAACCCCCACGCCTTTGCACATCAAGCCAAATTAATTCCCAACCCACGTTCCCCATCCTCCATCCCACAAAGATCTTCCTACCACATACCTGGCCTCACCTTTTTTTTTTGCTTCCCTCCCATTGGCAAAAATAGACTTTGGCAATACGGGCCAACCGGCCCGTTTGGCATGTAAGACTGCACTTCTTGGTGCTGTGCTTGCGTACGCAAGCCCGATTTACATAACGTACTACCAAACAACTCACCTTGACTGCTGTGTTTAGTGTACCGTACTCCCCCCTCCCCTTTTCCAAATAACCCTGCTGCTTCAGACCCTGACTCTGACTCTGGCTTCCCCCCTCCCCACATATCCATACCCCGTGACTTGGGGGGGGAGGGTTTGCTTTAGAAGCCCTGCTCAGTCCTAGTGGGGCTGTGTCCGCCATCGTAGTCGCAGCATTTGCATCGACATTCCATCGACATCAAAACAAAGTAAGATCAATATACAATCAATAAATTCTTGCACTCATGCATATTTGGCTATATCGCGTTGTGCAAGCCCGACGTTCTGGTGTTAAACCCAGCCTTGGTCTCTTTGCAGCTGGCAGGTGCGGGGTTGATGCCTGTGTGTGCTGGCATGTCTGGATGCACCCACCCCCTTGGAGAACAGACTGGCAAGGGGAAAGGGAAGGGGTGTGTTTCAACTAGCTGCCTGCGCGTAGGGGAAAAAATAGAGTAGATATGGAACTACTGTTTGTACTACTACATCTCACTACTAATTCAAGCACGTTAGCTTTGGGGGTATATATGTATAGGGCTTGGGGTCCGAGGTATTCTTCGTAGTGTGCATACGTGAGCGTAGTCTTCTTCACACAGCAAGACAATCAGTATGGATTCACTCAATCTGCGGAAACAATCATATATCATTCACTTTCATTCATCATTTATGTTGATGCTATGGCAGACGCAGAGTATCCAATCCATTGTCCATGTCGCGCACTTTGTTGCGCGTCAAAAACACAGGGTCTCGCGTCGCCCCACCATCCGCCTCGCAACCAAGGGTACACGCGCCTAGACTCCAAGTCTCGACCCAGATTCTTCTCTCCCCGCCACCTAGCATGTTTTCTGCGTATGTATATCAAGAATCAACCCGAGCTTCGATAACCGAAACGTGTGTTGTTTGCGCAAAGGGTGACTGGAAGCGAAAAGTCAGTAGGCGTGGCCAAAGGCGGTGTGAATTGGGGGGCGAGCAGGCGCGAAAAACTTACCAAGAGACAAAGAAGAGAGTTTTTTTTGCACAGCTGCCCCTTAGTCCTTCATCTGGTCATCGGGGTCGACAAAGTCCTCATCGTCATCCTCGTCGTCGTCACCCTCGAGCTCCTGGTTGGCCTTGCTGAAGTCGATGTGCTTACCGCGCGTGCGGCTGCCTATGATGTTGGATGTCTCAATCTCCTCCATGTTGTCCTCATCGGGCTCTTCGGCTGTTCATGTGTCAGTTGCTGAATTGGCTCGAATGTATTCGCGTGTGAGTGGCTTACGTTCGCCGACCTGTATGCGATTGTGTTAGCTATTGGTGCTGAAAATGGGCCACAATGGGTCAAAAGAGCGCACCTGATCCTCGGCACCAGACTCATCGCTGGAGTCATCATCCATGGACTCTTCCATCGCGTCGCCCTCCTGAGCCTTGCCCTTGCCCTTCACGTCGGTAGTGGGGTCCTGGACACCCTCCATCTGCTGGTTGTCTGGCTGAGCGGACATGTTGAAGTCTTCAAGGACTAGTGTTCAATTCCCAAGAGTCGCAATGAGCAGATTCGACAATCCCAAAAGCGATTGAAGCGTTGGCAGTGAGTTGTTCGTAGCAGCGGTGTAGCGTAACAATTCTAGGTGAAGCGCCCTCCATCTATTCCTTGCGTTGCGGTCTAGCCCAGAACTAGCCCAAAATGGGCTGGTCTCCTGGACAACGCCTGCCGTTTGCAGCAAATAGCAAACATTAGCGCGTCGAACGTTGGCCATCAATGTTGCTTTGCAACAACCCTTCAGCCACGCCTCACTGCGCCAAACGACGCCACTTCACAGACGCATGAGGATCAGCCTGTATGAGCTCACTCTGCCAGACGTTCATCACACACTTGTATTCAATGCACTAGAATAAGTAGAAGAAAAGTTTTATCGCGAGGAAATGTTGAAATAACCACTTTCAAAGGTATCGTAAGTTCATCCCACTAAAGCTCAACTGTGCTATCGTGTCATTTCACATGAGCATCATCTCCATATGCCACTTGGGCAAATCCATCTATCATCCTCTTAGTGGTGGAACAGCCTGATGTGCTGCTCAACAAAGGTGATGCCCAGCTTCTCACTCGTCTCGAAAACGGCGCCATCGTTCTGGCTACCTGTGGGTGCAGCAATGTACTTGGCTCCACTCCTGTGCGCTCTGAAGACGTTGTCGATAAAGGGGAAGAAAGCGTCGGAGCTGACTGCTACGCTCTCCATCTTCGACAACCATTCCTTGCGTTCCTCGGCCGTGAAAGGCTGCGGCACATGGCCCTCCTCAAAGTGCGCCTCAAAGTCCTCGCGCTCAATGCCTGACTCGGGAACGAGACCTGAGCAAAGGAGATCAATGGCATTAGACTTGGAGGGGCGCTTGGTACCCTTCTTGAAGTTGAGGTTGAGCGTCTTTGAGTGGAAACGCATCCACCAGTTGTCGGCTTTGTCACCAGCAAGACGAGTGCAGTGAATACGTGCTTTTGCGTGTCAGTGGCTGCTATAGTTTTGGAGTTGAACAATACTTACATTGCTGGCCAGCTCCAAGACCAATGAGTTGGCCGTTGAGCGCATAGCATACACTGTTTGACTGAGTGTACTTAAGAGCAATGGTAGCGACGGTAAGATCGCGCTGAGCTGACTCTGGTAGCGGAGGAGAGTTCTTAGGCACAATGACTGTGTTGAATGTGTCAGAAGGAAGGATCTTGGCGTCGTTGCGGTGCTGCTTGAGCGTGATGCCGAACACGGTCCTAGATTCTTCTGGGCCTGGGACGTATTCGGGGTCCATCTGAAGAACTAGGTACTTTCCACCCTTCTTCTTCTTGAGGATCTCCAGGGCTTCAGCGCTGTAACCAGGAGCAATGACACCGTCGGACACTTCACGGCTGATAATCTTGGCGGTTGGGACCTGTATTCCGTCAGTCATCGAGTCAAACCGATTATTCAACAGTTACTCACATCAACCTCGGCTGACAGAGCAATCATGTCACCAAAACTTGACATCCTGTCGGCACCACGGGCCCTCGCGTATGCCTGCGCCAGTCCTGAAGTCTCGATGCCCTCAATGTCATCAACCATGTATACCTTGCGCTCTACCTCGCTGAGGGGGACTCCGATGGCTGCACCGGCAGGCGAGACGTGCTTGAAGCTGGCAGCAGCTGGGTAGTTCAGTGCCTTGGTTAGCTCCTGCACGAGCGGCCATGCATTGAGCGCATCGAGCAAGTTGATGTATCCTGGAGAACCGCAGAGCACCTTGAATGGTAGGGGCTTCTCTGCCATGGAGACAGTTGCGGGTTTTTGGTGAGGGTTGGCACCGTATCGGAGGGTCTGGTACTGGACACCGTCGCCCGCGTACTTCTTCCTGAAAAACTCGGAAATAGCGGTATCGTATGAGGAAGTCTGCTCGAAAGCCTTCAGGGCATAACGCTGCCTGCTGGTCTCCGAGACTTCGCCGTTCTTCTTAAGCTCAGTGAGGAGGTCATGGTAGTCGTTGGGGTCGCTGATGATAGTGACGCGGGCGTGGTTCTTTGCGGCAGCCCTGAGCAGAGTCACACCTCCAATGTCAATTTCCTCAACTGCCTCTGGGATTGTGACGTTGATGCGAGCGACCGTCTCAGAAAAGGGGTACAGGTTGCAAACGACAAAGTCAATCTTGTCGATGCTGTTTGCAGAGAGGTCAGAGTCGTCCGAGTCGAGGTCGCGTGCGAGAATGCCGCCATGAACAGCAGGGTGCAGCGTCTTGACGCGCCCACCGAGCATCTCAGGCGCCTTGGTAATGGCAGAGACATCTTCGACTGGGAAGTTGGCCTGGCGGATCATCTTGGCTGTACCGCCAGACGCAAGTAGGCGGACACCGCATTCGTGCAGTCCCTTGGCCAGGTCAAGAAGACCGGTCTTGTCGTACACGGACAGAATGGCTGTCGCATCTCATTAATGATTTTCATTTTTTAGATTTGGTTATCGATCTTGCTCACCTGTCTTTTGGCCGCCCATATTGACTGATTGTATGAGAATCTACGAATCAATTGAAAAGTTACAGACCGCTCAAAGTCAGATCTGGGGTACAAAGCAGTGGCGCAAGAGACTGTGGAGATTTTTTTGGCGTCGCGGGGCTCAAGACTGACCTCATTTTGCTGCCCCTCCATGTTGCCGGGCCGATTGGCCAAAGCTCCTCCACTCTCCAAACTACTACATACCCAACACGGCGGGGTTATCCCAGGCCGTGTCGTTGATCACTGCTATGATGTTGTAGCTGGTGTCGCAAGAAGGAGTCGACAATGCTCCAAGAGCTTTTCCTCCGGTTTCTGGTGTTTTCACACAAGGTGAAGTCATGTAGCCAATCACCGGAATGGCAAAGGACTGCCAACTTTATCGATAACGCGGGTTAGGTCTTGGTCCGTATATCTCGGATACTACATCTGATCTCTATCGTGATCTCACGTTCTTTGTTCTTCTATACAAGAGTCTCTCAGATTACATTAAAAGGAATTACTTCTTACAACCGGGTACCGACTACTCCGTTGCACGGCTAACTTTACAACACGGCTGATATAGCCAACACAGTGCAACTCCCACAGCATCATGACAGAGGCTCTGAATACCGAGGATCTCGTCAGTCACCTCCAATCTGTACTGCTTGAGCTCAACGCCAACCCCTATCCAGACGTCGCGTGTCCACCAGATTTACCGAAACGCGCTTCGGTAGCTCTGATCCTACGCATACAGCCCAGTTACGCACATTGGCCCAATAGCTCCGATAGTCCTCTACCGAAGCGACGCAGACGCTCCTCGGTCGCAAAGCCCGCAGATGAATTCGATTTTGAGTCCTCTTTGAGCGCCTTCTTCAACCAGGACTGGGTTAAGCACGGTGACCCGGAACTACTTTTCATAAAGCGAGCTACAAGGATTGGTGACAAGTGGAATGGACATGTTGCGCTCCCTGGTGGAAAGCGAGATCCCGAGGATAGCGACGACCAAGTCACAGCTGCGCGCGAAGCGCTCGAGGAAGTCGGTATTGATCTGAGCCCCGACAATGCCATCGCCGTGGGCAACCTACCTCAGCGCATTGTTACGACGAGCTGGGGTAAAGTACCGTACGTTAAATTCTTGTAGACTCAAGCTCAGCCTCGCTTTGCAGCGGCGGATTGGCAAATGTATATTGCGAGTATCAAGGCTAATCCTGCTTCATAGGCTCATGGTTCTATGTCCCTACATCTACCTTCTGACCTCCCCATTCTACCCGCCACAACGTCTGCAGCCCACCGAGGTAGCATCCTCCCACTGGGTACCCATCCGCGCGCTTCTCTCACCTGCATTACGCACACACGAATACGCAGATGTCTCAGCACGTCTAGCAAAGTCGGAATTAGGTATCAAGCGCTGGTTCCTGCAGGCCATGCTAAGCAAAATGATGTTCGCAGCCATTCACCTGGTCCCCGCAAACTCGACACATTGCGCAACTATCCCAGACTTTATACCCATCGACGACGAATCTCAGGGTTTGTTGTGCCTTGTCAGAGATGCCCTAGCAGGACCTGCCTCGCGATCCAAAGACCGTAGACCACCGCTATTACTTTGGGGCTTGACGCTCGGCGTTGTAAGCGACTTTCTCGAGCACATACCTCCTCACAATGCGCTGGAGCTATGGACGTACCCTACCTTTACCAGTTGGGACGTCAGAGTGATACTATGGGCAATGTCGTACCGCTTCCGCAAGCAGAAAGCCGTGGAAATGAGCTCAGCCGTGTCCAGTGTATCAAACACGAGCGAGGGTCCCACACAAGACCTACCCGGAATAGGTAGCGAAGCTGTAGGTTCTTTGGAAGAAGAAGAGAAGCCGGGGGAAGTGGGTATAGCAGGGTTGGGCGTGGGAAGGACATGGGGACAGAGCGGCAGAAGCAAAATTATGGCTAGAGGCGCTGCAGTCAATTCTATGCTAGAAGGTTATTATCCCATCATCAGACATGCTGTAACGGCAGCGCTGGTTGTCAGGATAGGTGTGGTGGGCTTAACAGCTTTCTTAACTTTGAAGAAACTGGGGCCTACTCCGTTTGAGATGGTCAAGTCGCTTGTTTCTAGCTAAGCTCGATACGCATTTATCCAAGACAGTGAAATTTTGATGGCGACTCTCACATTTACTTTCTTACTCCATCAAGTGTCCATCCCAGATCCCTCGTGGATTTGATACCTGGACTGTGTTGTCCTCAATATGCTGAAGAGCAGGGAACTCAAGAGAGCACGATGTGATGTTCTAGAACTACACATCGGCATTGGAAGACAAAGAAGACTCCAGCATTAGAAATCAGTCTCATAGGGATTGGTATACAGGGTACCTTTTGTAGATCCAAAGAGATTTTGACCATTGCTCTAATGCTGCTGAAATTTTGAATGATTCTACAGACTAGCCTATACATCCAATTTCATGACAGATGACAACGACCCAGCGCAATTTCGATTAGGACTAGCAGCAGTATCTCATTTCTGCCTCTGATGGTTCTTCAGAGATTGTTGGCAGCCGTCTCAATCTTTTGGTGGAGGTGCCAAGGTTTGGTGGGTGACGTCACGCGCCCTCTGTCCCTAGACTCGGTAGAACAGCAGGCAGCAAACATTACCCCTCAAACATCTTTGTGGGCCATCCCTCGTCATGGCCCGGTAACAATTCAATGGCAAAGATGTTACCTCGCTCAGGCTGGCATCATGCTGGCTGCCGTCCATTGCATGGACCAATAAGGTAGACTGAAGAAATTTGATCCTAGCAGGCGATCATTGTAAGAGTGCTAATGAACCATCAGGACAGTGTCCCCACGGATCGCGGCAACATGGGGATCATCAAGGATAGGCTTATACAGGCTATCTTCTAGCTCAACTCAACACCTCACTGGTCTGCAGGCTGGTGAGGACAACACTGGCCACATTAGTGCTGGCCCTAACGAGGGCATCCTCTTCTTTAACAATGTGTTCCCTATCCAAATACGCAAAATACTGGGGCTTCCTATGCCACGCATTCTAAATCGGCTCATTAGTCCCACCGCATCCGGTACAGATCCAAAAACTGTTATTGAAAGAGCCAAAACCAAACGAAATCTACAAATTACCGGTACCGAAGTGCTCCCTCGTATGCGGGAAGGTGGAGCATTTGTCAAGTTTACTCATGATGGAAGTGCGCCAACCTCTGAGATCGAAAAGACCTTGCAACAGTACTTAGAAGACGAACCTGTGAAGCCATGGTGGAGCCCGTGGAATCAAATGCATGCGAAAGCAGTCAAGGGAAGACCTTGGGTGGAAGATTTGATGCGTCTACCTGCCACTCGTTTACGCGTTGAATTCGTCTCTGGTGAACCTGGAGCGCCTGCTACCGAGGCAGCTGAGTTGAGCCAAGAGCAACTCTTCCAGTTCTTTAGGCCCTACGGAAAGCTGAGTGATATTGTCATGCAACCTCCAGACTCCAAAGTACTTCCAAAGTTCGCTTATCTGGACTATACTAGTATAAGTAAGGCTATTATGGCAAGGAACTGCATGCATGGATACCTCGTGTCGGAAGCCGAAGGGGGTGGAAAGAAAGGTACAATCTTGAGGCTCAAGTATGAGCAGAAGATCAAGCCGCGCTACATCAGAGATTGGATTATCAACCATCCGCGTATCGTCATACCCATCGTGGCTGCTCTTATTGCAGGTTTTGTTGCTGTCGTTTTTGATCCGTAAGTCTTCTTACTACTCCGCCCTGCTCCAATCTAACAAGAAACTCAAAGCATTCGGACGTTCTTTGTTAAGGCTCACATCACACGAAATTTCCATATACAAGATAACAAGTTGTATCAATGGATCAAAGGCTACGCCACAGACATCATCAACGGAGGAAAGAAGCGCAACGATGACGACGGTATGGATGCTATCTGGGATGACCGAAAGGACAACATTGAGCAGATTCAGACCTGGCTGATGGAGACTGCTGATACCTTCATCATTGTACGAGGCCCCCGTGGCTCTGGCAAGCGTGAGCTAGTGGTGGATCAGGCACTGCATGATAAGAAGGTGAAACTCGTCATCGACTGCAAACCTATTCAAGAAGCCCGAGGAGACATCGCTACCATCAACGCTGCCGCTTTGTCAGTTGGCTATAGGCCTGTGTTTAGCTGGATGAATAGCATCAGTGGTATGATTGATATGGCTGCACAAGGTGCCACAGGCGTCAAGACCGGCTTTTCCGAAACCCTCGATTCTCAGCTCAGCAAGATTTGGAACACTACGACTTTGGCTCTTAGACAGATCGCTTTGGATACTCGCCACAAGAACGACAAGGACGCGCACCTACCGGATGACGAATGGCTTGAGGCACACCCAGAACGTCGTCCTGTGGTTGTGATTGACAACTTTCTGCACAAGAGCCAAGAAGGCGGTATCGTATATGACAAGATTGCAGAATGGGCAGCCCAACTCACCACAACAAACATTGCTCATGTCATCTTCCTGACAAACGACGTTGCGTACAACAAGTCACTGTCAAAAGCTTTGCCCGATCGGATGTTCCGCCAAATCTCGCTCTCGGACTGCAGTCCAGAAGTAGCGAAGCGCTTTGTAATAACTCACCTTGATGCAGATGTCGACGATGATCCCATGCCAAAGGACGGATCACCTAAGAAGCTACCGTCAGAGCATCGCAAGGATCTTGGAGAGCTCGACACTTGTATCGGCTTGTTGGGTGGGCGGCTTACTGATCTAGAGTTCCTGTCACGGCGCATTAAGACTGGCGAGACACCCACTAAAGCAGTGCATGAGATCATTGACCAATCGGCGTCTGAAATCCTCAAAATGTACATCTTTGGCGCAGAAGACGAGAATGGAAAGCGGCACTGGAACGTTGAGCAGGCCTGGTTCCTCATCAAGGAGCTTGCGAAAAAGGAATCGCTACGATACAATGAGATTCTTGTCGACGACATGCTCAAGACGGGTGGCGAGTCTGTTCTTCGGGCTCTCGAACAAGCAGAACTCATCACGATTGATTCTGGCGCAAATGGCAGGCCTTCCATCATCGGGCCTGGGAAGCCCGTGTATCTTCCGGCATTTAAGCGCTTGACCGAGGACAAGGTGCTCAAGAGCCGCCTAGACTTGGCTATCCTGACGCATCTGACCAAGATTGAGAGTGCGACAATTGAAAAGTGTGAAAATGAGTTGCTGTTACTGAGCCAGCTGAGGAACCAGCCAGCACAAACCGCGGGAAGGGTGACCTACTTGTTGGCCAAGCTGATGACTAGCCAGGGCAAGGTGGAGAGATATGAGGTGGAGATGAAGGGGCTGAAAAAGGTACTTGGCAGCGAATACTAGTAGTGTTGTGGGCACTGAAAAGCATGTGCAAACGGATATAGAGACGCCGCTCTCGTCTCTTCATAGCGCGATACTACAACCTGTGCTGTTTGTGTGCTGTTCGGTGACCCCGCATGCTCACCGTCCGCTGATGCGGCGGGCTCTCAAGTGCAACGTAGGGCGAGCGGATACCACGCTTGGTGTGGTGAGCTACTATGATGAAAGCATGTGCATATTTCTTGCTGCAACCGTGCCGAGCTTTGTCGGCCTAGGTACATGGTCACGTTTTCCGACTGACATCACCCGGCCAAGGGCTAAGAATGTGACGGCACCGAGGATCGGGCAGAAGGGACCATTTTCCCGTACAGAAGCTTGGACCTGCCAACAACCGAGCGACGAGCGACCTTGAACTCCACCTCACCCATACTTGCGACTGTCCATTGCCATTGCGCGACTAGCCGTGCTTTATCCTCTCCGGATCGCGTGTCTCCCTCGTCTTCCTCGTCCCATCCTTTTCCCTTCGTTCCATCACGACAAATCTCTTCACATCCGGCGCAATGGCACCCTTAACAGATACCGTGGTCGATGACCTCAAGAGCACCGTCAACCGCCTCGAGAAGCGCATCGCTGAGCTGGAGAACAAGTTGTCTGGCCATGGCGGACAATCGCCATCCCAAGAAAGCATAAGGATGATCCTTATGGGACCACCGGGTGCTGGTGAGATGACATGCCGAGGATAGTCAAAATGTGGCATGTGGCTTACACAGAGCATAGGCAAGGGCACACAAGCACCGCGAATTAAGGAGAAGTTCTGCGCATGCCATCTCGTACGTTATGCATCATCTACTACATCATATGCTACGTGGCACAAAGAAAGAGGGACATGCTGACAATATGTAGGCTACTGGAGACATGCTGCGTGCGCAAGTCGCAGCGAAGACAGCCCTCGGCCGGGAGGCGAAGAAGATCATGGATGCCGGTGGCCTAGTTAGCGACGAGATCATGATCAACATGATCAAGACAGAACTTGAGAGCAACCAGGAGTGTGCTAAAGGGTAGGTTTTACCCTGGTGTTCGATTGAAGCATCCATTGCGAGCGTATACTAAGGCTACTATTAACAGCTTCATTCTCGACGGTTTCCCACGAACAGTTACTCAAGCCGAGAAGCTTGATGGCATGCTTGCCGCAACCAAGAAGCCCCTCCAACATGCAGTTGAACTGCAAATCGACGACGGTCTGCTCGTCTCGCGTATCACCGGCCGCCTTGTTCACCCCGCGTCTGGCCGTTCCTACCACAAGATCTTCAACCCACCCAAGACGCCCATGACCGACGACATCACTGGTGAGCCGCTCATCCAGCGCTCCGATGACAACGCGGAAACTCTCAAGAAGCGCCTTGCGACCTACCACGCCCAGACTGCGCCAGTCGTCGCATACTATCAAAAGACGGGTATCTGGAAGCCCATCGACGCAAGCCAAGAGCCCGGACAGGTTTGGAAGAGCTTGCTCAAGGTTTTTGACAACAAGGCCATGATTGGCGGACAGTCGGGCAGCCTGCTCAACAAGATCGGTCTCAAGAACTAGATCTGCGCTTGCCTTTTGGCCAAGGCTCCGGTGCTGGACTTGGGAGATATGGATCAACGTGGCGCTACGAAGTATGCCTACATTTGATCATCAAACACACGCATTCTTGCAATGTCTCGTCATGTTTTGGTGCCACTTATATAAAAGCCTGCACTTTACGCTTTGGAACGAAGAATGCAGATATGTAACGGATGAATTCTTTGTACTTGTACAGATAAGTTGGAGGTGGGCTTGGGGTTTTATCACTTGTATTCCCTGTGTGTTTCTTAGACTGTGGGTTTCGCATCTAGATAGCGACCCTAGGTTGGAAATACTAAAGACGTTCATGACGATGAGATTGTGATTCTAGGCACTGCTGCCTTGGGTTATCCTTTGCATTTGCTGATATTCATGAGATCTCCTACTTGCGCCACTCAAATAACCGAACACGTGCGACTACTCACAGCCATTGGATTGTAGCCAACGTGTTCCTAAACATCTTGGGGAACCAAACCGTGGCAGGACCGGCGTTAGCACCACCCAAGCCGTCCTAAGCTCCGAGGGAATCCCTCCCTCCAATCCTCCAATCCCCGAAAATCGTCCAACATCCGCCACGACAACTATCCTCGACACCCGATGCGCGAACCGCAGTTGCCTGATTCGACCCAAATTTCACATTAAAGAGAACCATAACCCATGGCCTACATATAGCGTCTGCGAACATACCCACACCTACACACGTCAGTGGCTGCACGACCGCATACCAAGGATCAGGGCATTGAAACACACCATCTGGCTATTGGGGAGCAAAAAAAGGGGGAGCGCACAACACAACAACAAAAGGCATCAACCAACCGACACACGCCCCAACTGCGGCGCAAAACACACAATGTCTAACCGCTTCAGCCGCCAAGACGCCCGCGACGACCTCTTCTCCTCCTACAACCGCAGCGCCTCACCCTCGAAATCCAAAAACAAAGCCCGCGCCTCGCCCTACAGCGGCGGCGGCGGCTACGCCTACACTGCGCCTACGTCGCCAAGCGGTAGTCCGGGGTTCGGCGCTTACCCCGGCGCAAGCTCGCACGGCAATGGGAATTTGTATCCTGGGGGTAGCAGCGGTGGTGGCAGTGGCTACGGTGTAGGTCGAGGGAAAGATGATGCAATGTTCCGGAGTGCGACACCGAATTCACGAGGCCAGTATTCGGCGGCTGTGCTGGATGAGTTGGAGAGTCAGAATGACGAGCATGTTGGTGTGTTGACGAGTAAGGTTAGGATGTTGAAGGATGTATGTTTTGCCCCTCTTCTCTCTTTTTCCCCTTGGGAAGGAGGGGAGATTTTTTTTCACGAGAGAGAGGATTTTTGGCTAATGAACGGTAGTTGACACATCTCATCGGCGATGAAATCCGCGACTCTACGTCTCTGGCGGAAAGGATGAACGATCAGTTTGAGAATTCGAGGTATAAGATTAAGGGCACTATGACGCGTATGCTGCGGATGGCGGAGAAGACGGGGGTGGGGTGGAAGGCTTGGGTAGGCTTCTTTGCGGCTGTTATATTGCTGTTTTGGTGGGTGTGGTTGGGTTGAGTGGGATTATACATGGTGGGGGTTTTATGATGCGCTTGCAGAGATGGTTTATGCGGGGTTTTGTATGGATACGCGTAGGAATGGGAGATGGAAGAGATGTCATTAGAAGTGGTTTTGCATTGCATATTGCATGGCGTTTGGACATGGGATGATGCGTATCAGGGTTAATCAAGACATTGTGTTCTCGGTATGCGTATTGCTTGGTTGTGTGCGATGCTTGTGCTGGCCATCTTGTATCCTGTCTTGATTGAGCGAATGATATGCGTGTTTGAAATAATTTCGTCTTGAACTGTCCTGTGCATCATGGTAAGCTGTCAACCTAGGTTATAAACAATAGGGATCTTATCAGCTTTCCAGCAAATGGAAACCCTATATACCTCCTTCTACAAACAAGCATTAAAACCCCTTCTTGATGTGAGAAATCGCTCACCAGAGCGCGGGTCTGAACGACCTTTTGCATAAGAATAAAACTCTAAAACCTTACCCTTCGTATTCTCCTGGTTACGGTTGGATGACTTGTCGCATGCAGCCCTTCTGTAAAACATCTCGTTATTACATTTTACATAGGAACATTACTCCTAGCACGAATAATACAGTTGATCTTTATGTTGAATATTTTGCTCTCCATAGGAGATATCAGTTGAGATATGTATTGTATAACCACAAGCTGAATTTAGTACATTGTAGCTTTAATAACAGAGGAAGTCCTAGCAAATGCGAGTGGTAAGCGGCAGTTGGATATACGATATGTCTGTGGTTGTGGAGATGAGTGGGTTCTGTGTAGGTTTGTTGTCTCGTGTTGAGTGGTTAGCTGATTGTGCGATTGTATGCACTGCTAGGAGGTGAATTTCATCGTGTGTTTGTGTGCGGTGAAACCTTTAGCGACTTTGAAGCAGTTTCCATGATTCGTTTGTCACTTTCGTGCCCACTTCTTGTTAATCTGGAATGAGAGGGCTTGTGAGCTACATTTCTGAGAATACGAGGTTCGGTGATAGAAATAATCGAGCCGCGATGTTCGTTGGTTTCTTTTAAAATCAGTATACAGTACTATTTGAGATTGACGAATTTTACGACACTGGTGATGATAGGTGTGCTAGTGTGTTGATAGGTACTTCGGTGAGTTCGATGATCGTCTCTGCACAAGGAAAATACACCACTTGGTTGTATCTGCATGTTCAACATCTGCTAATCGCGATGAATAAAGCGGTTCGAGGCTACAGTGAATCATCTCGAGATTCTTGCTAGATAATAAACTGAAATAACCACGACGAGCCAGCTACTATGGTAGCATATCTCAAGCACGCTTTGGTCAAGCTCGGCAGTTGGCCCCACGTAAGTCTTGTGGCGATGAGACTCTGAACTTCCTGTCTCTCAGCTCCATAATTGACCCGAATAATGATCGACCGTATCTGCTACGATACAAGTATATCAAAGATTTGCATTCTATTTCGAGGCTATGCACTTCGTGGCTGAGTTCAAGCGAAGATTTATGCAAAGAACAAGGCGAGAGAAACGCTTCATTGGCTCAAGAGATCAGATATATGAAACAACAACAGGCTTTATATCCGCGAATCATGCTGTTTGTAATATAGCCGGTTGTTGGATGATGTGGCAGAAGGAAAAAGCCACCCTGCCCAGACCGACATAGGGTGGCTTAGGTATTCACTAGCACGTGTTCGCTTCGTAGCGGGGTAGACCGCTTTCTGGGTAGCCCCACATCCAAGATGTACGACAATCATACCACTATGCAGAGTAATTCTTGTTTAGGACCGCAGCGGTCCTTTTTTGGAAAATCCTCGCATCCCTGCGGATCGCAAGGACGGGGCCCGTCTTGTAGTACTGGATACACGACATTACCAGATCTCTCTCAACAGACGTCATGAAGAGGTGACGCTCCATGAGAGCCCTAGTAAAAGCATGGTTACGGCCGAAGCTCGTGTCTGTCAAGTAAGCTGATTCGGCAATCACAGTTATGCTTAAAGTTCGAAGTGAGGGGGCTTAGTTATCATGCGCCTAGGAAAGTCCCTGTCGCATTTGTGATCGACAAGCCTGGTGCTCTCCAACTAACTTGGTCGTAACAACATCTCCAACGAAGATGGCACACTATCATTCTCTTGCACTGCTGTTAGTGGCTAGTTTGTAACTTTACTGTAGCCGGTCAAATCTGTGAATCTTCGGATATATTGCTGTCCTTCGAGTACGTACTACACAATTGCCAACATCGTATGTACACCCGGCCAAGGCTTGGGCTCTCAGCACAACATCCAAACCGTACCCGTAAAGGCATCGCCAATCACAAAGTAAGAATTTAGGTACTTTACTGCCCACACGCACGCCAAGCTCTACACCCTGCGCCACGCGTCGCGTCAGATATGCCCAATTAGAAAAAAGCCCAAGTGATCTCACTCGCCAAGAACTTTACCAAAACCCAACGATCGTCAAAGTCGTAGGAATCTAGCCACATCGCCAAGATAACTCCAAGAGTTTGTACATGGCTGACGAAGTCCGAGGGCACAACCCGTGTGATGGTAAGTACGAGGACGTTTTAGTCACGGTGCCCTCGGATGACTACGCAACGAACGTGGCTGACGTCTGACCTTGTTGCTCTCTCCGCTAAAAAAAAATCAAGGCAGTGTGAAGGACGATCGTATACATATAAAAGTACTGTACCCAAAGTGAGAAAAAACCACCAGAACATCAGCATCTAAACACTCCCCCAATTACAATTTTCTCTCTTACCACTCCGGCCTTTAACCAATCTACTACCTACAAGCATGATTTTCTCACGCCTCATCTCGCTCATTCTGCGAGTTTCACAATTCGTATTTGCAGCTATCGTTCTTGGCCTGACTGCCTACTTTGTCTACAAGATTGAAAACCCAGATCGTGGACCGCGGGGCCGTCGTGACCGTCGTGACCGTTGGGATGACGATGACCGATGGGATCCTGCCCGCTGGAGGGACGACGATGACCGGGACCCTCTTGGTCGACTGATATTTGGTCTTGTGTGGTCGTCTCTTTCTATCATCTTCGCTGTTATTTGGGCTATTCCCACGACGTTTGCTATGAAGGGATTTATTTCCGATTTCAGTGAGTTCATCTTATATTCCCCATCTCCATCTTGGTGGTATGCTAATAGTGAATGTTTTAGTCTTCACAGCAGGTTGGGCCGCTGTCTTCGGACTCCTCGTCGACTGGTTCAACGACGCCAACTGCGGTAGCCCATGGGCATGGGGCGGTTTGTCACTGAGGCGCGGTGATATCTGCGGCCAATGGCGTGCTGCCCAGGCTTTCTCTTTCTTGTCCTTGATCACCTGGTTTGCAACTGGCATCCTCGGCATTATTATGGTGCTCCGCCTGAGACGCCGCGCGGCAGCAGCGTAAGTTCTTGTTTAACAGCCCGACAGCACAAATCGCGGATACTAACGTCATGTTAG